GTAATAAGAAAGAAAATCAAATGAGAAGTTCGGTAATCTTTTAATTAAATTTTTTTGCTGCTGAAAATTACTACAAAAACCTTTGATAGATAATTTTTCTACTGGTTTTCGCACTGTTCTCATTTTTACTATGTTTTCGCTTCCTTCACTCTTTAGAATCAAATTTTTTTTAAGGTAATAAATGAGAAGATCACAAAATTGCTGTTACTGTAAATCTCTTTAATTGTTAATATCTGTGTGCATTTGTTCTTGCATATTGACTCAGATCGTCGCAATAATCTGTTTAGACGACACTGAAATCTGTAACTTACACAATCAACAACACTAACATCGGTACATTTGAAGACGTTGATTATTTAGCTCTAAAGAGGAGAAGGCGAGGCTTAGCGCCGGGAGAAGAGAAGGGAAAGAAGAGGCGGAGAAGGGCGCTAAGGACAACTCAAAGTAGTGTCACAAATTGTTACCTAAGTTACTGTTTGGTCGTCCAAATTAAATGTACAGTCTGAAGAACCTAGTTGCTTACCTATATTCGTTACTTGTTGCACTATTCAGATAAACTTACCGACTTAAATGCTATATATACGATCATCGAAACATAATTAGATGTAAAGAAGAAATCGACCGGTCACTCTTGATCAATTCAATTTTTCCCTTTACCAAAAATAATAATCGTTTACTTTTTTTGCATAACTTGTTTTATCAGCTCATTTGTTCAATTATTTATGAAAATTTTTTCAGTAGAAAGCACAAATTACTGTCTTAATCTATCAGTAAAAATTGTCAATTATATTTTTGCAACAAAATATTAAATAATAAAGAGCAAAAATTAATTTAACAGCATTAAAACAACGTATAATGAGGATGGAAAAACGAGAACGGCTTTTGTTGTTCAAATATTTGCTTAAAAATTTAGATGAAAAGATCCTAACAAAGCAAAATTTTTTGTCATCTTTATTATTTACCATTTTGTCATAGAATACAAGTAGAAGCAACAGTCATTCTAATTGTTCTGACTATTCTTCAAAAAAAAAAAAAAAAAGTTTGCCGTTTTCTTTACTGTTGTTCACGTTCCTATTATTATTATTACTGAAATTAAATATTACCAACGATAATTCAGCAAATTATGGTATTTCTGCAAATAGTAACTGTTTTTACCACATCTTTATAAGTGTTATTTTTTATTTCACGTTTTTTACATAAAAGTTAGAACAAACAAATAGTTCATATTGTAGCGTTTTTTTTAATTAAAACTTTAAATTTGACAACAGTAACAAATTCGGTGACTGAATTAAACTAAGGAAACACCAAAACTGTTTGCTGAAATTGTCTAGCTCCACCGTGCAATAGGCAACTACTTTTTTTGAGGAGATAGCCGAAGAGCAGATAAAAACTCTAATAAACATAAAAACAGCATGTCTAATTTTTTGACGAAAAAACCTTTTTTAAACTGTTTCTCAACCGTTTCACAGAATTACAGTCTTAGAAAGTGTTGATTTTGAATAAACGCTTTAATAAGGTTCTGAAATTGAGGATGCCTTTTCAGCTACTTACTCACGCACGTTTTAACTATTCCAGACTCTATGTTTGCAAATTTTGACATGTTTATTGTTCACTTTGTTTTACACTTTTACTCGCGGCTTTTTTCGTTAAAATATTGAGCTTAATTAACATGACTAAAATTACTGTAACATTTACTCTTCAATTTGGTTTTCGTAGTGGCATTTCCAACTGTTTAAAGGCTTTTCTTCACTGATTTATTTTCACATAAACTTCGGTTTGCTTACGGTTTTGCACTGTTTTATGTAGTTTTATTTTTGATGAGAGTCTAATAAGCAAAGCTTGCTGTCAAATAAAGCATATATTTGCTCAACTTATAGCGTGTCTTTTAGCAGAAGAAATTTGTAGTTCTTAAGCAAACAAATTTTATTCATACATTCAGTTTCATTTGATTGTATCAAATAAAAAACACACCCCTAAACACTTGTGAGTGTTAGAAGTAATTTAATTGAAACAGCGTAAAAAGTGTCTAAATTTTTCTACCTTAAAGCGTACAAAGAAAAGGTGATAGAGAAAGTCGTATGTATCTAAGTTTAGTTTTTTTTTTTGATAACAAAATTTTCCCGTGAATGTCAAAATATTGTAATTTTAAGCCGTTGAAGTGTGCAATAAGATAAAAAAAAAAAGCTAAATCTTAATCTACGTTAAATTTCTTCTATATTGAGCTTCTTATTAATTTTTTCACTTTTTTGCTGCTACTTTTCTTTTAACTAAAAATGAGACGTTTAGTTGCATATCAAAATTTTCTTTGTTTTTTGGCTCTTTGAAATTTTTTTGAAACGAATACTGTCGTGAGTCGCAAAAAAGCCAAACTGTAAAATCGGTTGAAGTATTTAGTTTACAAATTAAACTGAGAAAGCGTTTAGCAGCTAAATCTTTCAGATCATTGTAAAGCAGCAGCAAAAAGTTCTTAATAATCAAAAAATTCAGAGCACATACAGATCTTCTATTTAACGCCTGACTAACTGTTTTCGCAATATATGTGCAACTTGCAACTACTAAAAATGTTTATAAATGATCTTTCATTTTACTTCTCTTTAATTTGAATATATAACTAAAATTGAATAAGGAGTGAAAATATTTAACTAATATACAACTAAGTTTTATTTGGCTGCTTTTTTATTTGTCCTCTTCTACTTAAAATTAGCTACCACAATGTGCACTTTTACCACTGACATCAAAAGAACAGTGTTAGAAACAGAAGTGACCAAAAAAGCGAAAATTTTAGGGTGTATCGAGGATCTTTAAGGAGATTGCTTTGCTTCACCAATCAAACTACTTTGATAATAGCTTTTGAGTTCCAAAAAATTTCTTCTAAATTGCAATTCTTTAGATGCGTTCTACAGATAAAAAATTCAAACTTCTTTGCTCAGCTTCTTATGAAGGAATAAGAACTAAGTCTAGTTTTCAAATTAAATAAAGCGATTATTATTGTAATAAAACGACTAGTTTTTTTTTATAAAATTAATAACAGTTCAAATCTGTGCAAAAATTTTCATAATTGCTTGCCAGCAAACTGCTGACTATACAACACTTTTAGTTAACTACGCTAAGCAGTATTTAATAGTTGAAAAATCTTGTCAAAAAAGTTCACCTTCTCACAGTTTTGCCAGTTTTTCTGCATCAAGCCAAGACTCAGAACCTTTAAGAAGGAGCTTATGCTTTTTCTAACTCTTCCTTTTTTTGCACAAAAGCTACCTTTTCTTCTATCTTGAATCTTACCCTCTTGGAAATCCCCGCTAAATAACCCTAAAAAAATTACCGACAAGTGGTAACCATATCTCTTTTTTGAGACAAAATATTCTTCCCAAGAAGGTTGTAGATAATAAGTCATCCATAAATCAATTTCTGCTGCAACCACAATGCGCTGTACGGATTGTCATATACACAAAAGTTTAGGATAAAATCGTTTTCGATAAGATTTTTTTTCCAGAAAACTTTGTGAGATTAAAGAGTTAAGTTTGTATTTACGTCTGGTATTTGCAAAATTTTTTTTACTCGTTGTGAACATTAAATAAAACTGGAAATAACAAAACAACACATTTATACCTTGCAAACTAAGAATTTACTTAACGGTAAAAGCGTGTGAAACATATAAAATTTGAAAAAATACCTTGGTATTTATTAACAGTAACTGATTTTTTTTTTCTATACTAGTAGACTTAATTATATCTCAGAAAGCTTTAGCTGAATGAGAATTGTCGTTTAGGTGATATTTATAGCTTTTTGATTATGCTCAATTTAAATAAAAGCTTTTTTGTCTAAAACTGACTATGTTAACACCGTTTTTTAAAAATCTAAACTTTTGCGCTTTTTTTTTATTTTAGCAGTGCCGGACACTTTTTCGAGATCTGTTTTGGCAAAGTGGTGTTGTTTGAAGCTTCTTATAGCAATTGTTGGCTCGAACGTTGTCTCCTGCACCTCACCGCATTTATACAGCTGACTGTGTACATATTGTGTGGCAAAAAGCATCCAACCAAATTTTCCTGGTCGCTTTCAACCTTACCTAGTTTTTAAAGCCAAAAAAAGTAT